AAGGCGATTGTACCACATTCGTCCAGATTGCTTCAATCCATATAAGGATCGCTGTAATTTTATCGAGTACATATAACGTGGTTTTGTTTCAAGCATTTTAAATCCTTCTGGGATTTTTATATAAATATCACTATCTAGTTATCCATATAAATATGCTGTAACCACGTCCATTAAATGCATATGCAATCTTTCTGTGACTGCCAAGTGTATTATGAATCTAAAAGTAGTTGCATCAAGCACAGGGGAGTATGTTTCCTCAAAATCAATATCAAGTCTTTGTGAGAAACCTTGAGCTATAAGTCGGGCTTTGTATCTCACGATTTCATTTTTCTCATTACGCTTTCGTACAAACACCCATTTGTACCCAATAGGTCAGGTGTCTGGACTATTGGTCCAAATACTTCACGTTTAGCTAATGAATTTAGCTCTGCTTGTATCGCTTCTTTCCATTTCGGCCAATCATTTCTTCGTCGACATTCTTCGACGTTTTGAGGTTTCGGATCCTCATTTTCAATATCAAGAGCAACGAGATATGAGAATATGTTGTCGACAACAATTTCCTTTCTATTCCCTCTCGTTTCATAATTTAATGAGATCTCATCATTTTCAGGTACCTTTGCCTCATCAAGGGCCATATCATCATTTGTTGCTTTTGGCTTATCAATATTTATGATTTCATCATTTTTAGGTACCTGAGACTCATCAAGAGCCTCTGCTTTATCAAAAGCTATTATCTCAGATTGATCAATAATATCTGTTTCTCTTTTTATGGCCTCTTTAGGAGTGCTAGCTTTTCTTTGTGATTTCCTCTTACGAGGAACAATATCTTTTGCACCGACTGGTCTACCACGCTTTAGGCGTGTTTTAGATGCATTTGCTGCATTACTGACAGAAGGTCCCTCAGGGACAACAATTCGTGCTGGCACATTTGCAGCTGGTATATGTGATTTTATCACTTTCATTGTATCAATAAATGCATCAGGTAATTGATTTGCAACATTTTGCAAGTGAATGATCCTCTGAACTTCTCGTTCACATTGGTTTGTACGAGGATCAAAATGAGACAATTCCAGGGCATTCCAAGTAAGATCACGTTGCTGCTGTGCCTTTTCTCCCCCTAATGGTGGGAAAACAGTCTCATCAAAATGACAGTCAGCAAATCGTGCTTTAAAGACATCACCTGTCAGGGGTTCAAGATATTTAATAATAGATGGAGAATCAAAACCAACATAAATTCCAAGTCTACGTTGAGGACCCATTTTAGTGCATTGGGGTGGTGCAATTGGAACATATACAGCACAACCAAAAACTCGTATGTGAGAAATATTTGGTTGTTGACCAACAACAAGTTGCAATGGTGAGTACTTATGATAAGCAGTTGGTCATATACGAACTAAAGATGCAGCATGCAATATGGCATGACCCCAGGCAGAAACAGGTAATTTTGTTCGCATAAGCAAAGGACGACCAATTAACTGAAGTCTTTTAATAAAAGATTCAGCCATACCATTTTGAGTATGAATGTATGCAATAAGATGTTCAACTTTAATTCCAACTGACATGCAATAATCATCAAAAGCTTGAGAAGAAAATTCAGCGGCATTATCAAGACGGATTATCTTAATTGAGTAATCAGGAAAGTGTGCCCGTAATTTGATAATTTGAGCAAGAAGTTTAGCAAATGCAACATTACGAGTAGAAAGTAGACAAACATGTGACCATTGTGTTGATGCGTCAATTAAGACCATAAAATAACGAAATGGTCTAGAGGGTGGATGAATTGGCCTACATATATCCCCGTGAATTCGCTGTAAAAATGGAGGAGACTCAACAATTACTTTTGAAGGGGATGGTCTGATAATTAACTTACCTTGTGAGTAGGCGGTGCATAGATGATTATTTGGTAAGATGATTTTTTGATCCTTTAGTGGGTGTCCATGTGAATTTTCAATAATTCGACGCATCATTGTACTCCCTGGGTGACTAAGTCGATCATGCCAAAGCATAAAAAATTTTGGGTCACAAGATTTTTTATGGATCACAACATTTGACTCAACTGTTCTAATGGTTGTATAGTATAATCCAGAAGAGAAAACAGGGAGTTTCTCTAATATCAGTTTCTTGCCTGAGGTAATGGAAGTAATGTAGAGATATTCCATATTTCTTTCATTTGCAGTCTCAATATGATACCCATTACGACGCAAATCTTTAAAACTCAACAGATTTCTCCGAGATCTTGTAGAATATAAGGCATTATCGATTTGTAATCTTGTTCCATGTGGTAAAATGATGTTGGCTTGTCTAGATCCTTCAATCAAGTCGGTGGGACCTGATATGGTACTGACACTGGCGTCTGTCAGAGTTAAGTGGGAAAAATATTTTTGATCTCGAAGGATTGTATGTGTTGTTCCACTATCTGCAAGACATATGTCTTCACCATTTATTTTGGAACTAGTCAGATCCATTCCTATTCATGCAAAACATTTTGTTATCAGAAAAGAAACTTTTATAATAAAGGAAACTTTAATACAAACGAGAAAATCAACACTTTAATATAAGGAAAATAGAATCATAGTAGACAGAACATGAAAAAAAAAGCATAAGATTAACTGGTGTGGACATTTCCATCACCAATCAGGAAGTCTATCCTTCTATCACGATCATCAAAAAAATCTGATACATCCAGATTGGTGATGTTAACTGGCTCATCATGATCAATGAAATTCATTTCCAGATTTGTGGTGTCAACTGGCTCATCATGATCAAGGAAATTCATTTCCTTTTGTTTTCCCTTTTCTTTCATTGAGGCTTGGTAAAGATCAGCCAGATGCTTCGGTGTACGACATATAATTTGCCAATGCCCTGTCATGCCACACCGATAACAAGTATTATCGTGTGCCTTAGAAGGTTGAGCCACATCCTTCCCTTTTACTTGTCTCATTTCATTATGATATTTCCTTTGAGGGTATGGTGTGGATCTCTGATTGCGAAAATGTGAGAATTGATATCCTTCACGATAATAAGAATGATTTCTACCACGACCATATTCATTATTGTGGTAGTTATTTTTGCCACGACCATATTCATTTCTACCACCACGACCATGACCACGTCCATGTCCGCGTCTACGACCACGGAATGAGGCAACATATGTTTCAGGGATCGGTGTCGATCCAGTTGGACGGGACTGGTGGTTTCTCAACAAAAGCTCATTATTTTGCTCTGCCACCAGCAAACATGATATCAGCTCTGAATATTTTTTAAACCTACGCTCTCGATATTGTTGTTGTAAGAGTACATTCGAGGCGTGAAATGTGGTGAATGTTTTTTCTAGCAAAAGTTCATCAGTAACAGTATCACCACATAATTTCAATGTAGAGCTGATTTTGAATAGAACAGAGTTATATTCAGCCACAGTTTTAAAATCTTGCAACCTCAGTTGCAGCCAATCAGCCCTGGCCTTTGGGAGGATGACTATTTTTTGATGATCATATCTTTCTTTCAAAATATTCCACAAACAAAGTGGATCTCTTTCAGTGAGGTATTCAGTTTTCAGTTCCTCACTAATATGGCGCCGGAGAAAAATCATGGCCTTTGCTTTATCTTACAATGATGACTCATTGTTTCTTTAATTGTGTCACCAAGGCCCATGGCATCCAAATGGATCTGAGTATCCAGAATCCAAGATAAATAATTTTTGCCAGAAATATCCAGGGCCACGAATTCCAGCTTTTTCAAATTTGACATTTTCAGAATAACTAGATGTGACAACAATATAAAAATATAATTTAGTATATAAATAAAATGGAATTAAAATGAAATAATAACATAATATAAATTATTTAGACAACAATAATGGTCAATCTGGTCATTATAAATAAATTATTAAATAATAAAGGCGGTAAAACCAGCCATAAAAATAGTAAATAATAAAGGTGGTAAGACCGACCATAATTAGTAAATTATTACATAATAAATGTGATAGAACCGACCATAATGTAAGCACATATATTATGTAAGTGAACAAAGTTATTTTATGAACAATAATCCATAATTAAAATTTTTTTACCCTTTGGAGTCACAAATATTATTTTCTTCGATAAAGCAAACCAACCCAACAATCTATCAAAACTAATATTACAAAATAGATATATAGTTGGGATAGAAAGAGAGAGAGAAAACTTTCTTCTTCAAATCTCAGATGGATAGCTCGTGCTGATGATGTATAATAAAATATGTGTATGTGTAGATATATATATAGAGAGAGATAGTAATATTATGTAAGAAAAGAAGTAACACTTTCACAAAATAAGAGAGAGCGAAAGACAGAGACAGAGAGAATGAAAGAGAGAGTAAAAGAGGGAATGAAAACCTTTTCCCACACATATCAAAACATTACATATGCATAGCCTTATATAGGCGTACAGGTAAGCTTCCCTAAGAAGCCACTAAATGCAATCTTCCTTTGTAAGACTAAAATCTTGATGTCATGGATGATGCAATATATTGTGGACCCCACTCATTTATTAGATATATACATAACACTTTAAGATTTATTGGTCAATTTATGAATTATATGCATGGTTGTTGTTTGGTTGATCGATTTGTTGATGAATTTTCTGAGTTCTTGATTACATTAGGTCCAATTGGTGAATTGGGTTGTAATTTTCTCTTCCTCCGCTGAACTGGGCGTACTCGGCGTGGTGTATAAGATTGTGGGTTCTTTTTTAGCTAATTTTTTTTTTTTTTTTAGTCATTTCATAAAATATTAATTTTTTATATATATTATTAAATGTGTAATTAAGGATATTTTAGTTATGAATGTGTAAATAGGACTTATTCGCACAAATATTATAATTTAGTAGTGTTTTTTTGTACCTGAAAGGTGGAGTATGCACTCACCCATAAGAAAAATACAAAGTGGGTCTAAGAAACGCACAGCAAGGTTACAGTAAAAAGAGACACAAATAGACCCAAAACAAAACAAATTTGCATGGGTTGATTTTGAACATGTGACCGACCTTGGTTTGGGATCAAAATATGAGTAAAAAATTAAATATATATAGTTGCTTGGCTTGTTCTTTCATTGACGCACCATGCTGGTATCATTTTTGATACCGTCGTCCTCTAGATCGGGCTGTTTTTTCTAACCTGATCCATTTACACTCTGGTCGATAGTCGAAAACAAATAGCGTGTTAATCGGCCCGAGTTGCATCTACCGTCTGTGGTCTGTTGACCTACGCAGAGATCTACATATAGGCTGATCTCACGAAGAAGGCGATCAATTGGGTCTCACCCATCTATCAATTCTTTCTAATCATCAAAAGCTAAATTGGGTTTTTAGGGTTTTTGATTGATGATGGAGGATCAGAAGCAGAAGAACAAGTACAGTATAATCGTCCCCACTTACAACGAGCGCGTCAACATTGCTCTCATTGTCTTTCTCGTCTTCAAGCACCTCCCGTACACACTCTTTTAACTCATATATATATATATATATATATATATATATATTAATCTTAATTTATTTGTTGGTGATGTTGTAATGTTCTTGAAAGTCTGTTAATATCTGATGTGAGACTTGTTTTTGCTTTTAGGATTTCAAATTAAGATAATTTTGTGGGAAAGTGATAAATAACTAGAACATTGAAGATGCAACAAATTTTTTCTCTCTAAATTGAGAGAGTTTCATCACACTTTAAAATTTTTCTTCCTTTTTTCTTTCATTTTCCTCTATTTATAGATTGTTTACAATGTTTTAGAAGATCCCTCACTCACTTCCTCCATTAGGCCCTCCATTAGGCCCATCATCGAGGCTTTTGTATCCATTGATCCATTAGTCTTTCAGGCCTTCAGCTTCACTCTTCAGCATTGGGCTTGTATCATGACAACTTGATTTGGGCCCAGGCCATTTGCCTGGCCCATTTTTCATCATGTGGGTTAGATCCGGCCCATGCCGTCCTTGGTATCCTCATCTGTCCCCATAATTACTCCCTTATTAATTAGGGTGTGATTATCAATAGACCTAATGATGACTTGACGGCTAATGATGATTCGACGGCTCGAGACGATCACATGGGGCATCGAGCGGTCGGCCTCAGAATTAATGTCTTTGAAATTTGAATCTTCTTAACTCCCCGACGTCTCGGTTGACGGGACCACTTCCCCTTTATAAACCACTCCTCCTATCCACATCTTCCCTTGTCGTACCCCCCACAAATCACTGTCAATCGATTTCAATTTGTTCTCTCAAGGCAACCCAGATTTTTCTAGTCCATCCAGATACTCTCCGGCGAATCCAGTGAAAGGTTCTTCACTCTCAATTCTTTTACAACATCCCTCGCTGATCTTCATCTTTTCAAGGTTAGTTCTGTTTATTCTTCTTAAAGTATTTGTACATTTTTCCAAAGATCATAACAGTCAGCATCTTGCCTATAGATTTGGATATTCTACGTATGAAGCTTCATCTCCCTTCCAACATTCAACTTAGAAAATGTCCCAAAGACGTTAATGTCAGAACTGGCGTCGGTCTTCTTCCCGGCGAAGTCTTGTTTTCCCTTCATCACCTCAATATTTTTAGATTCCCTCTCCACCCTTTCTTTTGCTATGTGTTCAATAGGTTGAAACTTTCTCCTCTTCAAGTCAACTCCAATTTTCTTAGGGTTCTGTCCGTTCTGTTACTTTTGAATCATGACAGAGGCCTAGATCTTGACTTGATTGATCTTCTCCTCTACTACAAGGTTAGCAAAATCAGGCTGGAGGATGCATATTACCATCTTTATCCCCTTGAAAAGAAATCCATCTGTACAGACAAGCTTAATTTTGAAAAGGGGTGGAAAAAGGGTATTGTTGGCGTTCGGGGTGCTTGGTTTGCTCCGGCTGCCAAGGACTATCCTATCCCTACAGCTTTCGGCGAATGCTCCGTGTCTTCGTATAAAAAATTCAAAACCCATAAGGCAGATTGCCCTTGTGAAATTTGCATCCCTCGATTCTATTCGTTTCTTTGCAATTCTTTGGGTATCCCGCAGGATAATGAACTTAGTTATAACATTTGCAGGGATAGGACCAATTACCTGAAGGAGTACGTTTTGAACGACATCTCTTCCTGTTCGGAACTTCTCACATCCGAGAATTTAAGTGATATATCTCTCCTCGGCACTACAATGAGCCAGCTTCGGATTCCATCCTTCAGCAGGAGGAAGGATCCTCCCAGGGTCAATGCTGCTTCTGCAGCTTCTTCTTCTCCAGTTTCGGCATCTTCATCTGCCGCCACATCCAGCACTACCCCGAACGTGGTGACTGTTCGCTTGATTGTCACCGCTCTACCTGTCATCCAGAACTCCGTCCCTTAAGCTTGGACTACCACTGCCCCCATTGCATCAGTTCAAGATAAAGAACGGGGAAAAATGCCTCAGCCTGAAAGCGAAGGCAGCCCTGATGACGTTCCTCTGACAAGGAGGATTCGTACCTCTGGGCCAAGTTTGTCTATCCCTCCTTAGGTTAGGCCAACTGCTCCTTTCGGGTCCGGCACTGCAGCCGGCTCTTCTTCTGGTGAGGCTCCGTGGACCCCCAAATTGGTCCGAGCTGACGGCTCGGTTGTGAAGCCGAGCGAAACCATGTTCAAGGAAGGTCAGACAACCATGACCTATTACAAGAACATGTGGTCTCCTAAGGACATTGAAGTCGCCAAATCTCTGTCTCAGAAGGAGGTCTTCGGCCGTTTTCCCCTTGCAGCCATGGAGGTAATTCCTCTCCCTTCTCTTTGTTACATCTGAAATGTCTTTTCATTGTAATTCCTCCAGACATGCGATCGGCTTAATTAGTACTCATGTATTGCTCTACAGACTCTCTTTGGCATGATGGTCATGCAAAAGCATGTCGAGGCTGCCAATGCTAAGGTGTGAAAGTTCGCCAAAGATGTTGAAGTGGGTCACAAAGAGAACAAGATCATCAGCACCCAAAATGCTGAACTCATGGTGCAGCTGGACAAGGCTGAGAAGGAAAGGGATGGTCTGAAGAAGGAAACAGACTCCCTTTAAGACGAAAAAGACTCCCTTTTGATCGAGAAGAGTGTCTGGCAGACCGAGCGTGAAGCGCTCAAAGCCGAAAGAGACTATCTTTAGCGCCTGTTTCATGATGAGCAAGCAGAGCGTATGGCCTTTGAAAAGAGGGCTCTGGATGAGCGTAATGCCCTGCTCGGTGTCATCGGTAGAGTCAATGGAGGGATGATGGCTCTGCACAGCCGTTTCTCCCGCGCTGGGGCCCTTAGGTATGCCGAGGGATACCGAGAAGGTTTCAACGATCGCCTTCCAGCTGAGGGTCAGACAGTCTCAGGCACAGGCCCGGATGATGTTGACAAGGAGCTGGGAATTGATCCTCTAGGAGTCTATGCTGATCCAGACCCCATTCTTGCCGAACACATTTTTGAAGAATGTGATGGGATTGCCTCATCTAGAGTTATCCTTGTTCCTCCTCCCGCTCTGCCTTTAGACATACCTCCTCTCTCTACTGTGGTTCCCCTCATGACTACCATTGAATGTGGAACTTAGCAGACTGAAGTGGTGATTCAGCTTGACTCCCCCACCTCACAGGGATACCATTACCAATGATGGGGAGGGTAATACTAACCATCCTGGGGATGCTACCGAGGGTGAGCAGGTGAACGAGGAGACAGATAGAACTTGATTATACCCGTCTTATGTATATCTTTGTAATCTTTGAGCTTATAATGAATGAAAAGATACTTTTTGACTACATCTGATCTGAATCTCTACATCACTTGGTAGTACTTAATAATAATTTTTGTTTAACACAAGTGTGTGGCATTCGGCTCATAACACCAACCACTTGTCTTTTTCATTACTTTTAATAAGTGTCTGGCGCTCGGCAAGAACGCCACTTGCCACTTGGCCCTTTTTTTTTATATTATTTTTTAGCAAGTGTTTGGCGTTCGGCTCGTGGTGCCAGTTGCCACTTACTATGCTTAAGTGCCTGGCGCTCGACTAGAATGTCACTTGCCACTTGGCTTTTTTCATTATTTTTTAAGCAAGTGTTTGGCGTTCGGCTCGTGGTGCCAGTTGCCACTTACTTTGCTTAAGTGCCTGGCGCTCGGCTAGAATGCCTTGCCACTTGGCTTTCTTCATTATTTTTTAAGCAAGTGTTTGACGTTCGGTTCGTGGTGCCAGTTGCCACTTACTTTGCTTAAGTGCCTGGCGCTCGGCTAGAATGCCACTTGCCACTTGGCTTTCTTCATTATTTTTTAAGCAAGTGTTTGGCGTTCGGCTCATGGTGCCAGTTGCCACTTACTTTGCTTAAGTGCCTGGCGTTCGGCTAGAATGCCAGTTGTCACTTGGCTTTCTTCATTATTTTTTAAGCAAGTGTTTGGCGTTCGGCTCGTGGTGCCAGTTGCCACTTACTTTGCTTAAGTGCCTGGCGTTCGGCTAGAATGCCACTTGCCACTTGGTTTTTTTCATTATTTTTTAAGCAAGTGTTTGGAGTTCGGCTCGTGGTGCCAGTTGCCACTTACTTTGTTTAAATGCCTAGCGCTCGGCTAGAATGCCACTTGCCACTTGGCTTTCTTCATTATTTTTTAAGTAAGTGTTTGGCGTTCGGCTCGTGGTGCCAGTTGCCACTTACTTTGCTTAAGTGCCTGGCACTCGGCTAGAATGCCACTTGCCATTTGGCTTTGCTCATACTCAGTCACCTTTTTTAAAGGAAGACGATACTTTTTTTTTATAAATTTTTCAAAGTTTTTGCTCTCTTGCAAGTATACAATTGAAGGTAGACATTAGTTAAACTGAAACTCAATTTTTATTGATAATACCTTTTTAAAGAAGTGGCATTACAAGGCTTGTTTACCAGCCTTCCAGCCATGGTTTCTAAGACATATGCCTTCTTTCCGATAACCTCTGCAACTCTATACGGACCTTCCCATGGTGACACCATTTTCTTAATAATACCGACTTTTCTTTTCAGAACCAAATCACCAGGTGCAAAACCCCTATGCCTCACCTTTCTGTTGTGACTGTTCATGAGCGTTTGTTGATATGATGCGAGCCTTATTATTGCAGCATTCCTCTTCTCTTCAAGCAAGTTGAGGTTGAATTTCAACATATGATCATTCTGCTCCTGATTCCACGCTAAACTCCGAATGGTAGGAACTTGGTGTTCTACCAGTATTATTGCCTCAGTACCATACGCCATGGCGAATGGGCTTTCTCCGGTCGGTCGTCTTGGAGTTGTTCTATACGCCCACAGGACGTTCGGGAGTTCATCCAACCACTTCTCTTTCTCTTCTTCAAGCTTCTTCTTTATACAAGTAAAGATCGTTCTGTTTGTGATTTCAGCCTGACCATTCGCCTGTAGGTGGCTAACCACTGCTAACTTTTGATTAATTCCATATTCGTTCAACAACTCCCTTAACTGCTTGCTATCAAGGTTAGTCTCATTATCCATGACGATCG